AGGGAGCTTAGGGAAAGATGAAGATACAGCTTTTGAAGAGCCCAAATGACAAAATCTTGTTGTGAAAGAAGGAAGATAGTAAAGAATTAGGCAGCTCAGGTATGCACTGTTTCACTGTCAGATTACTGAAATTAATGCCTGTGTCACTGCATCACTGCAACATGTCTTCAGACACCTCTGGCAATTTCCCTCTTGACTGAGAATCATTTTTTATCTTCATGATGCACCAGGCATCTTTTATCAGTGCTCCAGAAGTGCTGTATAGCTTGGCTTTGAAGGAGAGGCTTTTACAATAGGTTAAGAGCTCAGGCAACCATAATTTCACCTTTGGCAATACTCTGTTTGATCCTCTTTTACAGATCAAATAAGTACACTGGAAATCAGGGGAAGTGCTTAGTGTAACAAACCCAAACACTGAGTGACACAGCCTATAAGTGCCCTATGTTACCTGAAACTTGTATTCAGACAATGCTGCCTCTGTTTCATTGTTTAAAAATAAAAATGTCTTCATATTTCTGCCAACAACCAAAGCTGTCCAATTTAAATTTCATCAATTATTTGTCACTGTCTGGCATATTTTGTCTGAATGGTTATTATACATTTTTTGTCTTTGTTTCCCTCCCATGTTTTGGTAGAGCAACAATGGCGCGGAGACATTTGTCTTGCAGAAAAACAATCTCTGAGAATCATTCAAACCTGTTTCCTTTGTCATAACAAATTTGTATGCCTGGGAAGTAAAGAGACTGGTCACTTGTATTTTCCTCTTCTGCTCCTTCTCAGTGGTTAGTTACAATATCAAACTGCTTCCTTTGAGAAAAAAACAAACAGTAGTATGATATTTGGTCTTTGCACAACCAGAAACAACCAGAGTCAATGTAAAATGGATGTAAAATAGCTTTTGTTTAAAAATATTCTTCTCCTGTTGCATGGTGAATAAATAGTTCTTTTTGAGACCTGAGTGATTTTAAATTTTAGGAATAACTGTATGGGGCTTTTTGGGGATTAGGATTTTTTTTATTACTTTTGAGTCTGCAAAACTGCCAGGACTCTTATATAAAACTTTATTTTTTAAAACTCCATCTAGTACACTGGGAATTGTAGAGTGCACTTCTGTAAGGGACAGACACTCAGTAGGGCAAAGTGATTATGAAGTAAATTTCTTATCTCAGGGAAGAAAACTGCTTTCCAGCTATCCAGGCCTGTAGTCAACACATCCATTTCTTCTCACTTAAAGAATATGGTTTCCATAGTTAAACACTTGGAACAAATGTGAGCAGGTTGTCTTTAACATGTGGTAGAGAGAGGGTGTTCTGGCAGTAGTTGCATTTAAATCTTGAGTTACCTTTATTATGGATTGTGCTGTTAGTGCAGTGCTTATGTACCTACTGCAGCGTGACTTTCTGAAAAATTTAAAAGTATTCAAAAATGGCCCACTTGGTTGATTTTAAAATTCACAGCCACCTTCACATCTTATGATGGAGACAAATCTGGATTCAAACTGCTGAACAGTTTCCCACAGGCTGTGTCACACCAGTGTCTTAGTAGAAAGGCCCCATGGCATTTAGAGGGTTTGGAAGGCAAACTAGGGAGCTCCAAGGGTTTTGTTTTATGAAAATGGTGTTCTAATTTCAGCAAAATAAGCCATTTGTGAATGGCTGGCTTTTTCAAAACACTTTCCAAAAGCAATAAACAGAGACAAATATGCACACAAGATTTTTATCAGTCTTTTTTTTTTCTTTTGATAGCTACAGCTATGAAAGCTGATGACTTTTTTTTTTTTTTCACAAGAAAAATTGTGTTTTGTTCTGAATGTTTATTCTTCCACACAAAGGGGAAGGACTGATACCACTGTGAAATCTTCATGAAATTTTGGAGAAAGACATAATGATAACTTTCAGAAGAGGAATATTAACAATAGTCATCTTACACAGTATTTTTAGTCTTAAACATCAGTACTTAAGTGATTTCTCATACCTCGTGAAAGCTGATGTAAACACAATATTCCTGCAGTTAATGTGAATCCCACAGCATTTTGCAAACCTTTAATTGTGTAAAGAACTGGAGAAAAAACATTATTCCTTAATTTGACAGTAGAAACTTGCCTTGTTTTTGAGCAGGATGTGTGGCCTCCTTTAACCTTTCTACCTGTAAGGATATCAAAAGATTTATACAAGTGGATTTTTCAAAGACATGTTGTGGTCTGTTTCCTCCAGTTGCTGCTTGTCTGTGTTACTCTGACCCAGTTCAGAGATGGAGATCTGCCTCTTGAATTTGGCAATATATGCTTAGCTCAGCCTTTATGACTAGTGGTGGAGTAGGCATAACTTTTTGGATGCCAATAGGTAGCACACTTGTTTAATTGACTCTGATCCTTCACTCTTATCTGCTCAGTGGGATGCTTGCAAAGGAGCATGTTCTTCTGCATAGTTTGTATGAAGAGTGAAGCTTTGCTTGATGCAGAAAATTATTCACTGCATATCAGCCATCTGTTCTCCCAGTCTTTCAGTGGTTTATCTGATCAGAAGAGCTCCTCAGTTTTTTGAGTGAAAAAACATCAAGTGAGAAAATGGTGTTAGTGTTTTTATTGCGCCACCTTCTTTTGGTGCAATAAATAATAGTGAAACATAGAAAGGATTAGCAAATCCTTCCCTTTCAGCCTCAGCTATATTAGCTAGAGGAGTTTTGTATGTGCTAAAATATGAGTAGAGTAACTCTGCTGGCATAAATTATTTGACTTCTTGAAGGATAGCCTGTCACCCTAAAAACAATTTTTTAAAAATTTATAATGTACTGTAACTTTAATGGTCTTTTTCCAGTACATGCCCCCCTATGCAGCATGTATTAACATTGGTACCTTAAAGAATCAAATCCATGCTCTTGTGTAGATAACAGAAGGCTGGTATTGTGTAGAGATTACCAACAGAAAATATAAGAGACAGTAATTTGCAATAAAACCGAAACCTACCATGAAATGTTTTTGCCTTTTTCTTGCTCTCCATGTGGGATTAGGGTATTGCTGTAGAGCGTGGGAGCTTGGGGTTCAGGTTCCTGTTTTGACTCCTGTACAGTGATTTGGCAGATGAAACCTGTTGGCCTCAATTAGGCAAATCAAGGACCCAAACCTGAATGTTGTGCCATGAATCTCACCAGTGGCCTCTTCCTGAGATGGCTGTACCTTTGTGTGTTCCTTTTTCCAACAATCAGAATTGCCTACCAAAGTTTATTTAACACTTCTCAAATGTAATTTTGTCTGAAATTGCAGTAGGCCAGAGTGCATACTGAAATATTCTTTTCCTACTTCTAGACATCACAAAAACTGAAAAACACCAATTCTGCTGTTTCCCTTCTGACACTGACTATGAAATTTACTTTTTTATGTGGTAAATTCAATTCCACTTGAGTACTATGAATGTGTGTATATATGAATGCATTTGCAGGACTGTTCTTATCCAGACCTAAGTGACTCTAAGGTAGGCCTGATGCTGGCTCACTCCATAGGATTGTGTTGTATTGCATTAAAAAGTCAAAGTGCACAGAAGTTTCAAACAAGTTAAAACTACAAGACCATCAAGATAGCATGTGTTCCTGGTATTATATATACTAACCAGATATTAAAAACGTATAGATTTATCAGACAGCTGCCTATTTCTTCAGTATGCTGAAGAATTTGTAGCTTGTTGCTCAAACCTAATCTTGGAACAGGGAGTGTTGTGGCATTAGTCTTGCCCATCATACATTAGCTCACTGGGTTTTATTTTCAGGTCTGCATATGTCTGTGTTAGCACCTCTATATTGTTTCATAGTTTATGAATATATAAAGCCTCTGAGGTTTTAGTGTTGAAAGTATTGGTTAAGGTTTCTATGGACAGTTTCAGACTGTGTTCTTACTTTTGTAAAGATTTCGCAATTCTAACTGGTTTTTATCTCCTAATCTTTCTTTTTGTTGCTATGATGCCTTATCTCTAAATATTAGAGGGTGACTTTTGTGTACAGCTGGATTTGTGTGCTTAAGATCAGCAAAGTTTGTAGAAGTCTCCTCTAGTACAATAGAAAAACAAAGCACAATTTATTTACTGCTCAGAGAGCACTGTTACAGTCGTTGACCACCAATATGTTTTGTAAACCTTTGGGAAAAGGCTTTGTTGTGTTAATATGATCCAGATGAAACAGTGTGGTTTGTGTTAAGAAAAATATTTTAGTCCATTATAATGTTTCAGAATCAATACACTAAAGAAAGCAGAGTTGGACATTGTATTTTTGACTAAACTTCTTTAGAGTATGCTTTCTATAAGGGTTTATTAGGGGAAATAAATTACTTGTATTGAAGGTTTGTTGCTTAGAGCTGGTTAATGTTTGCACTTGACCAGTTTTCCATAAACCAAGAAAAAAGCTTCTGGCAGAATCTCAGAATTGTATGATTTGTTGAGGTGCATGCTATTGAAATCATAGAATCATCAAGTTTGGAAAATAACTCTCAAATCATGCAGTCCAGCCATTTACCCAGCCACCACGGTGTTCACTGCTAAACCAGGTTCTCAAGTGCTGCAGTCACTTATTTTAATTTTTTTAAAATTTTTTTGGTAAACATTTCCAGGGTTGGTGACTCAACCACTTCCCTGGGCAGCCTGTTCCATGCTTGATAACCACTTCAGTGAATAAATTTATGCTAATATCCAATCTAAACCTCCCTTGGCACAACTCAAGACTATTACCTTTCATCCTGTCACTTATTTCCTGGGAGAAGAGTCTGAGCCCCACCTGGCTACAGCCTCCACTCAGGTTTCCCCTGGGCTTCCTTTTCTCCAGGCTAAACAACCCAGCTCCCTCAGATGCTCCTGATAAGACTAGTGCTCGAGGCCCTTCACCACCTCCATTGCCCTTCTCTGGATAAGCTCCAGCACCTCCAAGTCCTTTCTGAAGTGAGGGGCCCAGAACTGAACACAGGTTTTGAGGTGTGTCTTCACCAGTGCTGAGTACAGGAGAACGATCACTGCCCTAGTCCTGCTGGCCACACTGTTTCTGATAGGCCAGTATTCTGTTGGCCTTCTTGGCCCCCTGGGCACACTGATGGCTCATGTGCTGAGCTGGCTATTGACCAGCACACCCGGGTTCTTTCTGACCAGGCAGCTTTCCAGCCAATCTTCACCCAGCCTCTAGCCCTGCATGGAGCTGCTGTGATGCAAGTGCAAGAGTTGGCACTTCACCTTGTTGAACCTTATACCATTGACCTCAGCCCACTGATCCAGGCATGCCTCTGCAGAGCCTTCCTGCCCTCCAGGAGATTGCCACTCCCATCCAACTTGTTGTGACCTACAAACTGACAGAAGGTGCACTTGATCCCCTTGTCTATATCATTGATAAAGATACTATACAGGACTGTAAACACTTAAGCCGTAAACACGGCTTCTAACCAGCTGCCAGCTGATTTTAAGGCCATGCACAGCCACTCTGTGGGCCCAGCTGTTGAGCCGCCTTTCTACCTAGCAAAGAGTACACACCTCCACATTATGGGAAGCCAGCTTCTTCAGAAGAAGGGTGTGGGAAACTGTTTCAAAGGCTTTACTCAAGTACAGGTAGACAACATCCACAGTCTTTCCATCACCTGCTAAGCGGTTCACCTTTTCATAGAAGGAGCTCAGGTCAGTCAAATATGACCTGCCTTCACAAACCCATGCTGGTTGGACCTGATCCCCTGGTTGCCCTGCACATGCTGTGAGATGGCCCTTAAGATGATCTGCTCTAAGACTTTTCCTGGGACTGAAGCCAGGCTGACAGGCCTTAAAAAAAGGATTTGAATCTGAGACCCCTTGTCTGAGTGAGAGTCACATCCTTAGATCAACAAGCTGCCCTGAACATTAATAGTTATTTCTAGTTATTTTTCTCATTCCTGAATGTTTGAAAATAGAAAGAAATTAAAATTGAGACTTTCATATTCAGTAAGAAAACCTACAAAACCATAGAAAGCAAACCCCGGCTTTTCTCCTGTTTTTCACTGAGATACTCTGAAACAGGAAAATGGAAAGGACGTAAGTGACAAAAAGCATCTGAATTGGCAAAAATTTGAAGGATAAAATAATTGGCACATTTGAGTCTTTTTTTTTAAAGTTCAAAATGGCTTTTAAAGAGCTTATGAAGTTGTTACAAAGCTAATTTGGTAAGGGCAAGGTAATGAACTTTACAATGAGCAGTTTGAAATGATCAAACCCACTGATGGATTCAGAGTTAAATGCTACTTTTCTCTCACACAAAATCCTGGGCTTTGTTATTGGATTATTGCAAATATCTGCTTAGCAGTTAGCTGTGGTCAAAATTATTTAAAAATTACACTTGACAATAGTGTTTTAATAAGAAAGGAATGAGAATATACTAGAAACATGCTGTTGCTGTTTCAGCAGAGGATATGTAAAATACTTTCTTGTTTTTTTTGTTTGTGCTCTCTTGATTTTAGATAAGGAAGAACAGAGGCAGGACTAGGAAGAAAAAGTTAGAAAGCAGTAAAATCCCCTGGATTTTTCTCTGTTCTTAGTGAAAAAGCTTTCATTGACTTCAGGGGTATATCAGCAAGGTTTTTGTGAGGGAATTGTAATGAACCTCTCAAATAGGGAAGAATCAAGACAGCAAGAACACTGAGCTCTTAAGTGTTCATAAGATTTTAAAAAATGAACAGAAGTTAAATAATATAGACTCTGTCACCTGTATTTATTGATTTCTATATTTGGACAAGTAGGGGTAACATATTTAATGAGCTGAGTGAAAAAATAGTCTTTTCAAGCAACACTTGTGGAAAAATTAATTTATTTGCTCTTGAAGCATAACTTGTGAGAATCTAATTTTTTTTTTTTAGAACCTTTTACTAAGAACGATAAAAAGAAAATAAAGAAAATGGGTGGAAAAGAAATATTTTGTTTCTCTCTCCCTCTCCCTAAGCAGAATAAATGAGATGAAGACAATTTTTCTTGAAATTGGGAAACTAGAGAAAGTCAAGAGATTTGTGCTGTGGCTTTTTTTTTTTTTTCCCATGGGCTTTTAAGGCATCTGTAACAGCACGACAAGAGGATGAAATAGCTTTGATATTAAAACACAAGAAAGTGCAACAGGATTTGATTGAAGAAACTAAATTTCTTTAAAGAAAAACTTTATCCCAAAATGCACTGATTTTAAAATGAAGAGAGGACTATAAGCAAGCTGTGTCATACCAATTTTTGTTCTTTCAAATATGTGCCAACTGCTGAATGTAGGATTTAGGAAGATACCTTTCCTAAAGGAAGGCACTTTGAGCTCTGCAGCTCACCTCTGCTTTAATATAAAGCCCTGTTGCTTGTTGTGCTCAGATCAGGTGAGGCTTGGGTCAGTAGCCACATCTTACACATCAACACTTGCGGTGATGATTGCCTATATCACATATAGGATTTTTGTCTAATATTATTCAGCTGATCTGTATCTCTTTACTGTTGTGTCATGACTTAAAAAAAAAAAAAAATTTTACTTGTTCGTAAAAATGCTGAAGAAAACGTACTACAGAATATAGTGGCATATCTTAGAACTGTGCTGCTCTTTAAAAGATGGTGAAGTGAAAAGAGAGGCTCCTGAGATATGTTACTTGTACAGTCTTAAAATATGCATAAATTATGGCGTCAATTCTGCTTCAGGAATCGGTGACACAACTCCTGTGGTTTATGATATGAGTGGCCTACAGCAACAGAATTTAAGAAATAATGTGCTTCATTTTTCTTTACAATGAATTTAGCACCCAACAGGAGTTGTGTATTAGCTGTTTGCTAGGACTGCAGTCTTCAGAGTACTCCAAACTATGCACTGAGGAATTCAATGAATTTCAGCTATGTGCTATATTAGGTGTTGAAATGACTGAAAATAGACTATGTCAGCAGTATAAATCTTTGTTAACATTTTCTTGAATATGAAGTGTGAGAATACTTATTTATTTGCTTTCCAGTGTTAGCAGTATGCTTTCAGCCAGACAGTGAATATTGTGCTTTGGGATTTTTTTTTGCCAGTGGCAGAGTTGTTTTCATTTATGGTAACTGTTACGTGTACTTGCACGCATCTTTGTCCTTGGGATTTTTTAGATAAAATATTCTCATTTGTCTCTTAGGATTTTCTTCTCTCCTTTCTCTTTGGAGAAAAGTTAAGTTGTGCTGAAAATGTTAAAACCCCCCGATTCTTGAATTCTTCTCTCTCTTTTTTTTTTTTTTTTTTTTTTTTTCCTCCTCCAAAACCTGACCTGCCAAAGCAATGGTAGCTTAAGCTTCTGAATTCACCTGATTTATCAACAATTAATCCAGGAAAGGCTCTCTGGGACCAATTTAACTAGTTCAATACTGGGATAAAAAAAGTATTGTAGACTTCTCTGTTAAGACTACTGAATATTTCAGTAGATCTTTGGATGGCAACAGGTTTAGTCTTACTTGGTTTTTAGTTTTGGCACAAACTATATAGAGGAGAAGCATGAGGTATTTCTAAGAAAAGGTCATTAGAATGGATTATATTTGCAAGAAGACTATCACTGCCATTAGAATGTCTTTGATTCTCCCCATTCCATCAATTCTTTTTCTCAGCTTATTGGAAAATATTCCTTGCCCAAAAAAATATTGTAAAGATGATATAATAATCTTAGTAGAGATGAGCTAGTTGCTAGGTTAATCTGAAATATTTTGCTGAGAATTTTTTTTTTTATTTAAAATGTGTTGATATTTTTATGCCAAACATTATAATGGCAAATGACAGTTTGTTTCAGGTGTCACACTTCACTTCTTGAAACCCATGGGTGCTGTATATTACTCTTTTTTTTTTTTTTTTTTTTTTCTTCCAGTGATACATCCATGGCAAATAAGGGCACTATGTTTTTGGTACTTTTATATAAGAGTTTTACTAGTCTCATTACTTCAGTACTGTGGAAATAGTACACACACATAAACCCCAACCAAAGAAAAAGCCTAAACTGGGAAAGAACACGAATGTACAGTGCAAAACAAAGATGCCATAGAGAGAAAGGGCTAGTATAACATTTTTTCATTCTTCCTGCTATATGAATTTTTCTGCTGTAACTGTTGAGTGCTTTGTATACCAATGACTATTTAGAAGGTATTTTCACTTCAGTTATTCATTTCTGGGCAGGAAAAGGAAATTCACAGAGAACACAATAGATCAGAGTATTAAAGGAGGTCTGATGGAATAAGATGGTATTTTTCTACATGTTGCTTTGTTTTCTGTGAAGAAAATTACTATTAGGCAACTTATGTGTACAGCATCAAGGCATTTAAACCCAGAAATTCTGTATAGCTCCCTAATAATGTGTTTAGAAAAATGCAATTTCATAATGCTTCAGTTCTTAAGCATGTAGAAAAGCAAGTTTGTTCACTGTTTATTATTGCTGCACATTTGCTGAACTCAGTGGTTCGTAAGTTGAGAACACTGAAGTGTTTCTGGTTACGAATATAACATATGACACATATGCTAATTTAAAAATATATTTTAGCTGATTGAACTATTTATGTTGTTACTTAGCACAATTAGAGATGTTCAAAATAGCACTCAACATTAACTGTTGCACTGTAGCAAATTAGTGTTTCCAATTAATTGCCCCTCTGCATGCGTGATTGCAGCATATGCCTCCTCAGGGTTCAACATCATGAACATATTAATTCAACATGGGTAATAGTTAGAGAAAAGTAATTATTTAAACTTTCCAGCGTATGTCTGGATTCTAGTTGTTTCGCTGTTGTTCCCCTGCTCCAGTTATCTAAGTTTTTATTTATGTTTATTTTTCCCACTAAGATAGTAATTCTTTGAAGTTTTATTTTTTCAAAGTCTTGGTGAAGTTAGGCAGGTAACATACCATTCATAAAAGCATCTCTCCACAGGCAATTGATCCACCAAATATTTTTATTTACTGCACCTGAATATGCTAGAAAAACATATTTCCATTGACTGATTAAGCAAGGGAACTGCCTGTAAATCTTATCAAATTTTGATGTAATTTTATCTATATCTAGATCTTTTTTGTAGACTCACAATTCCATGATTGTGTTCTAAAACTTATTTGCCATGTCTGCCAATGAGCAAATGTTGTGTTGATCAGTGTGAAATACACGATGATTCATAGTCACTTGAGATGTTAGAATATCTTTTGCTCATTGTAGTTAGTAGTTGTATATATTCTGCATATGATTTTATGGATAAGAAATTAGCATAGAGATTAACACAGATGGAGGCAAATGGTATTTACATTTAATACATTATTTACACTTAGTGTCCATAAATACATTATGTGAAGGCAATGTCAGAGCTTAAGAAGCAGAAATCTCATAGGACTGTAGTTATTGGAGTTTTTTAAATGTGTCTCTAAACTTGGTGGGGCTGGGATCTGAAATTTAAGATTGACTAGCACGTATGTGGTGGCATATTCTTTGTATGTGCTTTTCCTATATCATACTTAGTTTAACTCTGAACCAAACTGTAAGATGATCTTAAAATCCATAATTTTTAACTCTGGGAACAATCATTTACCCGGCATGCTTGTATGAAAGTATCGGCTTTGATGAACACCAGTGTGAGTCTCTTTTGCTGTGTTTATGATCATTTAGTTGAGAGGTTGATCTTAGTCAACAGCTGTTATTGAGTCAGAATTTTCCTGGGCTTATTCTGTTACCCTGCCTGGTACCTACCCAAAAGGAAAGTGTGTAAGTATGTACACAGGAAAAGGATGAAATTGCAATTACTCCATAACCTTAGCCAGAAAAATTCTTAGTGAAATCTATTTACGATGTTTGTGAGATGATAGATTCTCATTTTTTCTCCTAAGTTCTAGTCTAAGTTCTGTTTAACCAGTCTAGTGTTTTTCCTTGATAGCTTGTCTCTCTACACATGGCTACAGCCTGCTCCTGAATAATTAAAAATTCTCTTTTAGAGCACATGCAACCTTCCTGGACCTCTTTGCTCCTCAGGACTGACTCCCAAGGGACTCTGTCAGTCAATGTGCTACAACAGGCCAAAGTCTGCCCACTGAAAGTCCAAGGTGGAAGTTCTGCTGGTGCCTCTCTTTACTTCACGCAGTATAGAAAACACTAGCGTTTTGTGGTCACTATGCCAAGATGACCACCAGTCACCACATCACCACTGTACACAAACAACAGATCTAGGAGGGCACCTCCCCTGGTAGGCTCATTTGACACTTGTTTTAGGAAGTTGTCTTCTTCATGCTCCAGGAAACTTGTACACTGCTTCCTCTCTGCTGTGTTGTATTTCCAGCAGGTACCTGGCAGGTGAAATCTCCCACAAGTACAGTTTGTTCCATGGTATTCACAGATAGCAGTGCTGGATGCTTAAACGGCTCATCTCCCACAGTCAGCTTTGCTTCAGCTGTTGTTCAGGGTTCAGCCTGAGAAGTGACACCAGTAATCCCTCCAAGTCTTGTTCAATTTGTTTGATTTTGTTTGATTAAAACATTAGGCTTATAAAGCTCAGGTGCTAGAATTGTATACTTAAGGGTTTGAGCTTCGATAGATATTTTTGTGTGCTGCTAAGACATCTTGTCTGAAATACTTTTCCTAATGCGTGATCTCTGATCTGAACCTGATCAAGGTACAAAACAAAGGATGAGACTGGATCTGCAGGCTACCAAATTGATTTAAAGTAACCTTGCTTCCTCAGATTTACTTAGGTTTTTAGAGTAATGTTTGAAGTTAGTTTGCAAGAAAGATTCATGGACTGCAGGGAGGAACTTGTACCATGGTAGCTGCAGTCACTTATCAAATGTATTAAGCTTATTTGAAAAGGATAAACTTAACTGTTTTGCCTCTTAAAATGCCATCACTGCATTATAGGAATTAAAAACTGTTTCCTTTTTTTAAAAGTGCCAAAGAAGTTAAGCACCTGTGTGGGCCTCTGCCTGGAAGCTGAAGGCAATACTTTCAGAAAAGTTCAAGCCTTTTAAATAATTGTATCAAATTGAAATAGAAATGGATCCAAATTGTTGTAACAGTAGTTATATTCTTGAACAAATTGTTATATTGGGCAGCACTGAAGGCTGTATGGATCTTTGATATTCTGTATTTACCTGCTCATGATAATGTTTCAATTACTGAATGTCTCTTCATTAACACTTTGTAGTTCAGGGAGAATATCTAGCCCCAGTATTCTTTTGGCAGAACCAAGTGAAATTGTAGACCTAAGTTATAAACCATGGATTTATTGATAGCAGATGTAGAGACTATATCCTGAATGTAGTAAAAAATTTGCACTTCAAATATTTATATTATTGGGGAAGTTAACTTCAGAGAATTAAATTACTGAAAGGTGGAAATCATGCATGTCCAGATAAAGTTTCTCTACTCAGGATCTCTAGGTCCTACTTCTGAAGTTTCTATAGATTTTTTGAGGGGAGAGCAAGTAATTCAAGCTAATGGATGAATTGGAAAGTCTTGTGTACATTTTTAGAGGAAAGTTGTAATAGTAAAATAAATGCAGCCTACTTACAGAATAGGGGATGGTGATTTACACTAATAATATATGTGACCATTTATTGAAGTAAGGAGCTCTCTTTATGCGCCTTTATCCTTCCTTATTATTTTCATCAAATCCTCTTCTACTAATGGTATAGCTAATTTGAGATCCACATAATGTTTTTTGGTGAAGTTAATATTTCTTGCACCATCAAAAACATGCTGAGCACAGCAATGATTTATGAGCCAACGATAGCCACTTCCATTAGAAGTTCTCTTTTTTTTATTACCTTCCTCTGTTTTTTTTTTTTTTTCTCCTCTATTTATCTTTTTCTGAGTTTCATTCCGGTTACAGACTATTACAATTCTTCAAAGATTTGTTTCTCATTTATTTCTTGGTTCTGTGTTTTGGATCCATATCTCCTCCAACCCTTCCCTGTTGTGTTTTGCTTTGTGAGAAAAGTTGAGCAAGGAATTGATTGCTCTGTTTTCTCCTTGTAGTTAAGTGGTCCTTTGCTGCCACTAGTCAGAGCTGGATTGCAAAAACGTATCGTAGTTCAACTTTGTTTCACTGAACTCTTTTCAAGAGAATCTACTGTAATTTTTGTTAAGCCTGGTTTCCTACGGTAAGCATACAAATTTCCTTCCCCTGCTGGCATGTCTGTACCTCTTGGTCATTCAGTTGGTTAACACTGATATTAATTGAATACAGAAGGTAAGTGAAATCAAAGGTACTACTTAAGAGTTTTTTTTAAATTAAAATGTATATGTAAATTCAGGCTAAAGAGAAACTTGAGTATTATTGGAAGCATTACACAGAAGAAATCCAACAACAAAATGTATAACCATTTCTATATTTCTGGGAGGGGAAGCTCTGATCAAAGCTTGAAAGTTATTAGAGACAGGCATCATAATATCCTATAGGGTTTTTTCTGTGTATTGAACTGTTTTGAATGTGTAAGAGTGCACTGTCACAGAGTATTTTGTTAAATCCATTAATGTGTCAGTTTGCTTGCCTTGGTGACTTCAGTCTTCTCTATTCACTAGCTAAGTTGTCTTATTTCTTTGCTAAGCTATTGCTATGTATAGTTTTGCTGTGCTCATTGTGACACAGTGTTGCAGGTAATGCCTCAAAATCGTTTTTTAGCCTCACAGGAGGAAAAGTACATGCCTTGTGACTTCTCCCTTTGTGACATCCTGTTCAGTGACCCAGTGAATGAGAAAGAGAAACGAAAGGGGACTTCTGTCTTCATATTCTACTCTGCTGGAATGAAGGAAGCCCAGCTGCTTTTAGACAGCAAGACTGAGGAGAGAACCAGATTACACACTGAGAATAATTAGAACAACATGGATTTAATATCATTATTGCCAGGCATTATTGTAGTCACTGCATCGCAATCGCTTTCTTCCTAGTTTCCATATATATCACAAGGTCCTGGTTTCCATAAATAACAGCAGGCTCAGGGCAATCAGAGAAAACAAATTCAGGTTCTGTTACCTAAGTTATTGCTCAAATATTTCTGTAGCTTCTCTACTGCCTCTTCAATATAACATTTTTCTTTGACCTAGATAACTTCTCATTTGCCTCCTTGAACATGATAACAGAAATGTTGAGAATTTTCTTCCTTCATTTTAGATGACTTTGAGGATCCTTTATTGATCCTCTTTGCTTATATTTGTCATTTCAACAGCCTTGTAGCATGTATGATAGATACTGCCTTCTGAAGGGCAAAAAAAAAGAATCAATGGAGGAAGTATAGGGGGAAGAGGAGAGGAAGAAGAGGCTGTGCACTTATAAAATCAGTGGTGGTGTTTGTGACTGCAGTAACTCTGAAGGTCAGCTCAGGAATTTTAAATGCAAAATTCTGGCTTCTGTGAGATGTGACAAATTTGAAAGACTGTAATCTGTGACATTCACTGAGAATCCATAGGGCTGTGTGCACTGAGTAGTGCAGGTGTCTTCTGGAAAATGGAATAACGGAATTTAAGGTGTATAGTTAAGAATAAAAAAAATGAGATATAGCTTTATAGAAAAAAAATATTTAACTAATAAAAAGTTTCCTGGTTATATTGTTGACGTTGATATTTTTTTTTTTTTTGAGGTGGAAAAAACCCATGGAAAACTAATTTTATAAAGACAATTTCACTATGGAGGTGCTCACTACATGTATTAGCATTGCTGAGTCAGATTTACTTATTCATTTATCCCTAAAGCAGACCATACCTGTGTAATTTGACATTCTACAATGGTTGAGGAATGTGAGATACTGCCAGTAACTTGCATTTACAAGCCATTGGCTCTGGAAAGCATCCATTTTGTGATGCCCTGACTTCTAGTCCTGCATAAGCTGACCAGATGTCAGTCAGAACCTGTGTCCACGTCTTCTGCAAGGGATGTGATTATACTAGTTAGCTGATTTACATCAGGACTGTGATGTGGATATTGATGCCCCAGTCTTTGGCACCTGCCTTACTTTGGCTTATCTCACAAATTGGTCATGAAGCATAAAATCTGACTTGTAGATGAGTGCATCCAAGGCAAGCATGTCTCCTGTGTTTCAGCACTGAATGAGTGCTCAGCTCATAGGATCACATTGGGGATAGTCAGAAGTATGTGTTCAGCACACGTGCCATTTGAATGCTGAGTTGCTCCTACCGGGGTGTAGCTCCTAATTGGCAGAACTACTTGCCAGTGCAGCCATAGGTTTTGGCACAAAAGCTGTAGGTTACTGATTCCTGTAGCAACAAATACGATGATCACTAGGAGTGAGTTAGATTTGAACTGACAATCTTAATAGTGTCTAAGTCTGACTTGAGTATACGTGACCTAATGATCACTTCACATCTGTTTTTGTAATATGTGGATGGAAGGTGTTTTTCTACAAGCTGTGTAATGCTTTGGATGTACTTATTTTTTAAGTGGCAAGGATCTGATTTTTAACTTATGTTTTCTTTTTATTGTAAGTTCCTTTTTGCTGAATTGCTGTGTATGTTTCCTTTTGTACCACAACATGTTTTCTGTTCTTTCTCAGTGTTTCTTTTGTGTAATTTTAATTGACTACTTCTCTCTTACTTAGATATGTAACTGCAACTTTGAGGAAAAAGTCCTGACAATTGTTTTATCTCTCTAAATTCAGGTTTTGACTATCTTTAAAATTGATACAGTGCTGTTAAAATGTAGTGGAAAACTTTAATATCAGCTTAGCTTACTTAGGTGAATTTAAGACAGCAATTTTTTTTCTGGTATACTCTCTAAACCTTTGGTCAATGGGTAGAATAATCTCCCAAGCCCATGTGATTCTAATATTTGAGTGTAAGTAGAGCTGGGTTTACATATAATTTACAGGTGGATAATCCCTCATGGTTGCTGTATTCTCTTAGGGTATCAGCACCAGGAAAAAGTCGTAAAACCAGCTGAGCTAGGAAGGTTAAGGAAGGAGCTACTCTCCATTCTATGTAGTAATCCTATGGAAGTGAGACTGCTGCAGAATCAAAAACATTTAGGGTGAGGAAATGAAATGGAATAATCTTTTTAAAAAAAAAAAAACTTCAACTTTAGCAGCCACAGTACTGTGTGCTATTTCCATAAATTCTTGCAAACTAAACAGGAACTGGTCAAGTTAGTGTAAAACACTGTGTAAAATGTTTTTCATGCAAGACCTGTTTCCCAGAATTCTTCAGGGTTGAACAGTGTGGTGTTACTCTGGCACTAAAATTTATTATGCTGACAGAGGTGAGGAAAGCAGAAGGTATTGCACAGCAGGGAAGGGAAGACAGGCTTGCAGATGAAATTTTTTTTTCCTCTCTAATGGGAGGAAAATTGATGAATCAAAGAGATACTTCAATACTTTTTGGGAAATTAATATGGACGGAAGATGGCAAGGTGCTAAGATGATTGTTCTGTACATGTGAGAGGCAGGTAATATATAAAAAAAAAAAAAAGGAAAAAGAGGAAGATGACATTGTGTCTGTGGACAAGGATGGAGGCATGGAAACAGAGACTGCAAAAGCACATTCTAATTTTGAGGAGAACATTGAATTAATATTTTATTTAAAGGGAACCTCTGTTATGACCAGAATCACAGAATTGTTAGGGTTTAAATGGACATCTGGAGAATATCTAGTCTGACTCCCCTGCCAAGGCAGGGTCATCTAGAGGAGGTGACACAGGAACTTATCCAAGTGGGTTTTGAATTCCTCCAGAGAGAAAGAGTCCATAACATCCCTGGTCAGCCTGTTCTAGTGTTCTGCCACCCTGAAAGTGAAGTAATTCTTGCTCATGTTCAAGTAGAACTTCTTGTGTTTTAGTTTATGGCCTTTACTCCTGCTTTACTTCCGTCCTCCTTCACTTCCTCCTGTCACTGGGCACCAGTGAAAAGAGTTTGGCACCATCCTCTTGGCACCTGCTTTGAGATATTTATATGCATTAATGAGATCCCCTCTCAGTCTTCTCTAGACTAAACAGGCCCAGCTCCTGCAGTCTCTCCTCATAAGAGAGATACTCCACACCCCTGATCATCTTTGTGGCCCTCCGCTGGGCCCTCTCCGGTGGCTCCTTATCTTTCTTGTACTGAGGAGCCCAGAACTGGCCACAGTACTCCAGATGCAGCCTCACTAGGGCCGAGTAGAGGGGCAGGATCACCTCCCTTGACCTGTTGGCAATGTTCTTCCTAATGCACCTCTCCTAGCCATGTGGGTACACTGCAGGCTCACGGACAACTTGTCATCCACCAAGACTTCCAGGTCCTTCTCTACAGAGCTGCTCTCTAGTAGGTCAGCACCCAGCCTGTACTGGTACTTGGGGTTATTCCTCCTCAGGTGTGGTACTCTACACTCACCCCTGTTGCACCTCATAAGGTTGTTCTCAGCTGAACTTCCCGGCCCATCAAGATCCTTCTGAATGGCAGCACACCTTACTTGTCTATCAACCACTCCCCCCAGTTTTGTATCAACAAACTTGCTTAGGCTGCATTCTATTCCTTTGTCCAGATCATTAATAAACAAGTTGAATAAGGCTGGACCCAGTACTGGTCTCTGGAGAATACCGATGACTGCAAGCCTCCAACTGGATTCTGGTCTGCTGATCTGAGCTCTGCCTTTTTAGCCAGTTCTTGATCCATCTTATTGTCCATTCATTTAACTCACATTTCCTGACCTTACCTAGAAGGATGTTACGGGAGACAGTGTCAAAAGCTTTGCTGAAGTCAACGTAGACAACATGCACTGCTTTCTTCTTTTGACCCATCCCCCTATGTCATCAAAGATTTTCAGACTGGTCAAGCATGATTTCCCCTTGGTGAATCCTTGCGGACTACTCCTGATGACAGTCCTTTCTTCTGTGTGCTGGGAATGACCTCCAGAATGGCCCGTTGTGTCATCTTTCTGGGGTGGAGGTGAGAAGTTTCCTGGTTCCTCCTTCTTTTCCTTTTTGGTGAGATGGTACTAAATGCATTTCACCTTCTCTGACAATACTGTCTTCAAAGTAGCCTTAAGTGCATGTGCTTTCTACATTAGAAAGTAGAGTAAGCGTGACAAAACGGTGTGCTGCTATTGAACATGCCTTTTTGCACATAATAGTTTTAGCTGGTTTTGTTAAATAGTTACTTTAAAGTAACAACTAAAAAAAAATTCACAGCACGGATTTCAGTGTTCTCTTTTTTAGATGAAACATCCTAATTCCTTTTAACCCTTTAGAAACACTGGAAGATCTTAAATTTTTAAAGGTGAAATTATCTTTCGTCTCATGTTGAGAAAAAAATTACTTTGATATGAAACTATTTGCTTGCTTTTTACAAGTAATTAATAGGGCTCATTCTTGTATGTGATACCCCTTTTTATTTTAGATAGTCAATGTGTGATTGAAATTTGATCTTGAATGACTTGATCCTTTCACCTTGAATTTTTCCATGTAGTGCCCATATATTTTTCTTTATTTACTTGTACTCTTGAGTATTTGTGTGCCCTAAATATTTTCAAGTTTTCTTCTTGAAATTGATCATATTTACTTCATGGGTGAAATCTGTTTGTGCTCCTGTATAAATATTTTGAGACATTTGGGAAATTTCTGGTGGAAACCCAGGTTGCTAGCAGTGTATTCTTTAGTAAGGTATTTAGGATACCATGAAATAGCAAAATCCCCCTTAAAGAGAGCTCGTTACATTGGGGCAGCTTTTGTATAGCTTTCAAGGACAAATGGGTGGATCTTTATATAAAGAATGCAAAGATAGTTGCAGCATCATTTGCAACCATCCTGAAACAAAATAAAATGCCTTGGGGCAACCTCTCTAGTTACATGTATTTTAAATATTCCAGTAAGGATATGCATGCTTATGTAACTAATATTAACTTTTTCTGAAACTTACATTGCACCAAAGTGAAATTATACCCGTCTTTGTAGCTTTCTGTACTTATCGAGCTGAGAAAAGTAGCACAACCTATGGTAATGGGTTCTAAATGGTATGGTTTAAACTTGTCTCACAGCTCCACTAGGTTTTGATATGCTTTTCTGCCCTCATAAGTATTTACACCCATCCATGCTGGAGCAACTGAGAAAAGTCTTTCCAAGCAAGCCTTTTGGCCTTATCAGTGCAACCTTACAGAAATTTCCTTTTGCAGTGAAAACAACTGGAGCACTGGCTGTGGAGGTCTGAGTCTTAGCCACATGTGTCACCAGCAAACTCACTGTCTTGTGACATGGGAAGTGAGATGGGTCAGCATTCTTAATAGTCTGAATGAACTAAATGCTCACAGTGCAGAGAACTTCTCTGATAGGTTTCCTGCCATTCCTTGTTAAAACTTTAGGGATTTAGAACTAGAAAGATGTACCAATTTCATAAATTGGAATAGCGGATCTTTATTGTGCTCAGTCTTCCTCATCTGTGGAACAGTATCTTCTAGATCTTTTCTGTGTTATACTGTTGGTGAGAAAATATGGGATTGCTTATGGAAACTAACATGAAAAAAAGAAAAATTTTGCTTTCTATTTGGGGGAAACATAGTGAATGGCTAGGAAACCCTGAATTTTAATGGTGTGAAAGCAGTAGAAGTTGCCTTAGATGAAGGGAAACTAAGGAGAGGAACTCAGTTTTGGATAGCACATAGCTTACTTGCAGGATTGTGTTTGAACAATATCTAGTATTTTTTGGGGTTTTAAGGATATATAATTATTGCACACTTTAAAGATAATGGTAAAGGTAGTATAAGCTCTCAAGGATTCTTACTGCAAGAAATTGAGACTGTGAGAATATGGATAGTAGACTCTAACTTCTAGCTCTTTTTCCATTTCATAATGAGGATCCAATATCTGTTGGAAGTCAATGAGTTTTGAATGCCTTTCTGTTTGCAGCAACTTGAACTGACTTTTCTCTGATTAAATGTGTTGTTCAGATGTGGAAGCTGCCCTCTGGGTGCTTGAGTGGTGGTGAGAGGAGTAGAGGTAGGAGCAGCTGGAGACATTAGGCTAGCTGCAGATTTTGCAGATGCAGGAAAAGAGATGGCATGTAAGCGAGCATGTAAGAGCCCTCCCCTCTGGCAAGCTGTCAGGATCCATTTGGCAAACTGACGCTCAGCCTGAGCGAGGGCTGAGCCTGCCCTGGAGAGCCCAGCTGAGGCAGGTGCTTGTGCACTTGGCAGCAGTTTGGGCTCTAGGCTTTGCTGTCTTGGGAAGGAGGGGTCTGCTGGAAGCTGATAAATTGCTATGACAAAGAGGTTCTTGTGCCTGGTGATGATGTTATGTAGTAACTACACTGTAAGGGATTGATTTCAGTGTGTATTCAACACAGATAGTAGGGCATAACAAGGGTTTTTCTAAAGTGCTTATGGGAGAGACTGTGTTACTGCCCCTCACTGTTTTTTTTCTTAATGTAGTTAGGGATAAAACTTTGAAATAAGTGCTTTAAGCTGTTTACTTCAGTTAGGTTCACTTCAGACTTTCCATACCTTTTTTACATGACTGTACTACTTTAACCCTGCAGATAGTATTACACATATATAATATGGTGGCTGCGATGCAGATGATCTGAAGATCGAAACTGCCAATCAGTACTGAAATCATTACTGTATAGGATGTGATTTAGGCCATCTAAATGTGTTTAGCTCAAAGTTAAGCATCTGACCTAAACTATAGTGCCTTGCCTCCTTCTATTCTTAGAGTCAATGTAGGGAAAAGACTTTTTCTATCAAATAATTATTCTATTTAGATCTTTTATGCACCTAATTTTAGGGTATATTAAATCATATTTCTGGCAGTAGATATTTATTACTTAAAGTACCTTGGAAAAATTTAGTTGTCTAACCTAAGAAAGTTAAATGAGTTGGATTCTAAATTTTTTTTTTTTTTTCATATTCAGGTCAACTGATGTCTCACAATTGGTTTCTTAAAGACGTGAACATAAATATCTAGTATGGCACCTCGTAACTGCTTGGTGTTAACCTTCTTCCTTCTTTCGAAAATACATAAAAAAAGAATTCTAAAATTATTTTGCTAATTTTGACTGGATGATTTCAAAAATCAAAACAAATCTGAAAAGTTGAAAAAAAGAATTCAAGAATCCCAGTGTCTAAGTCTATTTGCTTCTACTTGTGACCTAAACAGCTGAAGAAAAACAAGGAAAAATTGTGATCTTAGTAAATATTGCTTCCGTAGTATGATTAAATATTATTGAAATGGTAATCTTACAGTGTGGTGTGGGGTCTGGTTACACCGTGGATGCTGCAAAGCACCCTAGGAGTTGTAGTTTAAGTACTCTGTCACACATGCTCAGTTAAATGCTTGTATAAGATGGGCTGATAATGTCACATGTTGTGATGTGTCAACATTTGAAACCTCTATATAAGCTTTGCCGCTTCCAATAAACCATGCTTTTTGTTACACACCATATTGGTGTCCTCATGGTCCTTTTGGACCCATTACTTATTATATTAATAGCTGCTACATTACAGTTAAAAACAAATTGAAAGAAAAAAAAGGCAGGAAACAAGCCTGTGAGCTATGGATGTTTTGCCTTTGGAGACTGAGTACATTTGGCTGAAGTTGTCATTAGACAATATTAGCTATGATTTTTAAATGTGTTTTGTGGTGTGTTTTGGCATATGACCAGACAAAATAATAAGACTTCCATTTGAAAGTTTGGAATAAAATCCATTTGGAATAAAATCTCTCTGGCAATGCTTGTTTGCATAAATTCTCCATTGGATTTAGCCAACTGAGTGATGTGGCTATAATCGTTTTGCTTGCTTAAGCATGTGTGCTATAAAAATAGTGTTTATAATGCAGTTGTCATGTTGATGCAAAAGTCCATTGCTGCCATCTGTGGAGATGTCTGTGTGGTTTCTTAGCTGTAGGTGTTGAGGGGATATATTGTTAGTTAAGATTTTTCCCAGAGAATTGATGTTTAGAACCTTTAGCAGTGTTTGAGAAAGCCTGAACTCCATCCCTGTCCTTTTGGTGTTCCAAAAGACCAGGTGCCACCAACTTTGTATATTTAAATGGTGTGGAGGAATGGCAAGCTTACGAGTCTACTAATATAATAGCATGGCAATGGGATTAGTGTTGATCACTCTGCTCAGGAGAGAGGCCTGATTGAGGGTGATGTCTGGTAATATTATGTTAGGTTTCTGTGTAATCCACTCTGTAATAGCTGCTGTCAGCTTTGACTTTGGACATTAATCACAGTTTGTCCTCCACACGTACTCACTCAGCTGGGGTTGAACACCGTGAGCCTTCCCTGTACAGCTATCTGTGATTCAATATCAAATTCTAGTCACAGTGTGTCCCCCTCTGTATCAGCAGTCAGGCTACATCAGACTGTCTTCAATCACAGTGAAGTGTGGAGCTGGA